GCTCAGGAGCAAACACGGCTGAGTGGAACTGGCCTTGGAAGAAGAACTATGGTAAATTATGCTTCCCCCCCCCAACCCCTAAGTACGCCTGCTGGCCTTCTGCAAACCTTTTAAGACCCAGCTTGTCTGTCAGACATGGTGGTCAGCAGATTGAGCTCATAAGTTACATGAATTTGTTGACTGATTTACCCTCAGTGATCATTTTTTTCCTATTTGATACAGCTTTATTAATTGCATTTTGTTTTGTATTGATATTTTTATTGTGTTAGCCACCCAAAGTCACTTTATGTGAGATGGGCAGCCATATAAATCTAATGAATAAATAAATAAGCTATGATCAATGGTATTGAACACTGCTAAAAGAGCAAGCGAGGACAGGGTGATACACTACCCCTATCCTAAGCCCACCAGAGATCAACAACAAGCATGATCAGTACTATCTCAGTACTATAATCCGTCCTAAAATGCAACTGAAAGGAATCCAGATAATCTGCTTCCTCCAGGGTCCTATGGAATTTCAGACCTGTAACCTTCTCAACAATCTTCCCTAATAAGAGACAGTTGGAGACCAGACAAAAGATTAGATTCAGTGATGCTTATTTCTGAGCTGCCCAGAGTCACCTTGAGTTTGGGGACCATACATGGTATATTAATTAATACATACATACATACATACATACATACATACATACATACATACATACCTTCTCAAGGAACCACCACTTTACCATGGCAAGCATTCTGTGTCGGAATTTCAAAAGATAGTCCATCTCTGGATAAAAAAAGGAATATAATTCTTAATTGCTACTGAGAACAATATGAAGCTAGATGGGACCTCCCAGGAACACCAGAGCTGTCTGACTGATTAGTACATAAAATTGTAGAAGAGTGTAGCATAGTTGCATGCAAATATTTGGCATCCTGCTCAAATTTGTATTCCAGTGAACGATATTTGGAAGCTGTCATTTTTATCAAAGAAAATCTGATTGAAAGAGTACCCAGATTTTGGCATTTCCCATATTCACTGCTTCTTCTCTGAACCTGTACACAATTGGACATAAATTGTAAGCATGCATTAAAATTTACAGAAATATATGTTTAACTCAGTGTTTAACTCAGTACCAGGCAGAAATTGTTCAGCTTGTATGCATAGCTTGAGTTAGAGTGTTTCAATACTGTCCTTGATCTTCTCCAGTAAGTCACAATGTATGCTGGAAACGAGCAGGGACTCTTTTTCTAATAGCATGCCTATATATTTTGTATTTAAACTGCCTATATTTAACTACAAGGCCCTTGGATTCAGAGCTGTAAAATTTAGTGACCCCCCCACCATACCCCACCCTACATTCTTTAACCCAACTAAAATGTGCACGTACAGGGAAGTTCTGGAAGTCATTGGGAGAAAGCAATGCTGAGTTGGATAAAATATCTGACCCCCGTTTGTTCATACCTTCCTTCCTTCTGGTCTCTGCTCAGTCTTAATATTCAATTACCTGCTTCCCCTCTTTCTTTCCTCAGCAGTGGTCCTATTAATGGTCTCCCAAGGGCCCATTCATCAGAATAGAACTAAAGAGTTATTAAGGCCGTAATTCTTGGAACCTGCTGTTCTCTGACAGGTGCCATAGATTCCCAGTCCTTAAGTCAACTGGTTTCATAGAGTTTGCTCCATTGTGGGCTGGAAATGACAGCTAGGTGGTATCCTTGGGGAGGAGGACACACAAGAAAGATGATGAGGAGCCAGCTCCACCTACAGAATTTTGGGACCAAGATGACATGGGAAGATGTCCAGCTCAACCATGAAGCCATACTGCCAGAAACACTGGGGTATGTGTGTGGGAATAGTGGGTGGGGAATTTATCTCTCTGGATCATTAGGTATTTAGAAAGATATGTTGAAGAAAAAGAGGGGAAGAGTTTAAAGCCTGATGCTGGTGGATAAAAGGGAGTGGGAGTGGAAAGAGATTGATGCTTGAAAAATAGCAAACTTTTTATTATATGAAATGTGTCTGCCTATATTTGATGGGTTAATATTCTTTGAACTGATTTAAGTGATGTATCAGGGTTCCTTTCCAAGTCCAGTGTCCTCCAGATGTAGGATACCATTCCCAGCATCATCCTTCATCATAGCCCAAAGTCATTGAGAGTTGGGTGGCATACAAGTTTAATCAATTAAATTATTGTAGCCATTAGGTGAGAATTATAATATTTCATCCCAGCTATATGGAGGATGCAAGGATGAGGTACTTTTCACCAGACTTATATACAGAGAGATACCTTTTTAGGGGGAGGGAAGATCAGTTTCAAAATGTGTTGGACAATCATGAAATGAAACATTCATTACTTTCACTATTGAAGAACCAGGCTGGAGATTTAAATCTTCTGTAGCAGTAGGATTAGAGTTGGCAAAATGGTGAAATTTATACATTGAGTCATATAATATTCTTACTAGTTCTAAGCATACTTATTGGTTTCATTTGGCTGCATGAAGCTTCTTTTGGGACTGAATATTTAAAAAAGTCATTCAAAACCTCATCAATCTATACTGCAAATCCTGCTTCTTCCTAAAGCAAATACCATTTTATTACCTTGATCCATTCTGATTTTTAGTGGCCAGTGAAAGTGGCTGAGGTTTTTTTGTGGGGGGTGGTTGTCTTCATATGTCTTTGTTTTCTTCTCATTGACATGAGTCTATTGATGTAGACACAAATTGAGGATCAGATAATTTCATACTAACTTTTGCGATCAATTCCACTAGATGTGTTGGATTCCAGCTTCCATCATCCCTATTTTGCATGCTGAATGGAAATGATGGGAATGGAAAGCCAACGTATTTGGAAGGCACCAGATTGGGAGAGATTGTTTTTCTACTCACTTTACAAGTAAAAAAATTCTTTACTGTATATAAAAAAGATGGAATTCCTAATCATCCTTCTACAACACCAGTGGTTCCACTTCCCAGTAACGATATGAAAGTGATCAACCATTGTCTTCTTTGAAGATGTTTTTCCAACTTCTGGTATTGTTGTGGTTCGCCGGCAGCAGGTGCAGACAGCTGAGGTCTTGGAGAGCGAGGACTCAGATGAAGGGTCTGCGTGTGATGCAGGGATGGGGCCAGGACTGCCAGGGAGTGGCATGATGCCTTCGGAGATTGTGGAGGCTGGCATCAGTGATGAAGAGGTCCCCGAGGAGCCTGTGCCCAGTGCACGTGCACGCAGGGCTGCTCGAAGGAAAGAGCAGCTGCAGCAGCATGGGCGACTCGGGAGGAAGGCTGCAAGGTAATGGCCCCTCCCTTAAGAGATAAAAGCCAGCTGAGAAACCGGAGTTCTTTGCAGGAAGCAAATAAGTTTTGTACTCAAGTCTGGTGGACGTTCAGAGTATCTTGGTTGGTGTTTGGAGACTCTTTGTGTTTGAAATATTTCTTAGTAATCTAGTATTCTTGACAGCTTTGCACAACTTTGGCAAGGCTCGGTCTTATCAGAGACAATTTGTTTGGAAACAGCCTTTTAACTGTGAAGGAACGGAATTCCTAAAGAATCATTAAAAGGTTTTGCTGTTACCTCTGTTTCGTGTTTGTTTCCTTGGAATTTGGTTTGGGTTAGAACAGGTATATTGGTGGAATCTCATCCAACTATTAACCAGGGTCATTCCTCTTTAGCTTCTCAGCCTAAAAGCTATTATCTGAATAACTATTAGAATGCCACTTAGATATTGTAAATTTAGTCATTGTTAAAAAAAACATTTAAATATATGATTAAACCATAAATAACATTTTTATAATACAAATTTAATCATTCCTTTTTGTAAAATATACTTAAAACTCACATAATTAGTATGGATATTTAAGCAATTATTTTCAAAAACTACATATGGTAATAGAATTGACTGGTACAATTGAAATGAATAACAAAAAAAGAATCTTTAACAGAAACATATTGGAAGTTCATGCTGGTCAAAGAAAGTTCAAATTTATATGAATCAAAAATTCCAGTCTTGTGCTTACATAATCCTTATGCAGCACACACAACCCAAGCTATCTAGTAGATATGCCACCACTATTATTTAGTCATCCTCCTGGGTCCTTAATAGCAGCTTGTCACACAACTTAGCATTTTCACAGCATGGAAATCAAAGATCAAGATCTTTTCATTTGCTTGATTTTTTTTTACATCAAGCTGCTCTTCACAGTGTGCTAGAGGGGTCAATGAAAAATTCAGCATCCCATCCAAAATTTCTCTCCCCCTGCCCTCCCTCTCTCTCTCTCTCTCTCCCTCCTTCCCTCCCTCCCCCCTTCTCTCTCTCTCTCTCTCACACACACACACATACACACACACTCTCTTGATTCCCCCCACCCATCTACATTTATACTCAGCCTGATTATTGATTGTGAATCTGAATGTAATGATCCTATTGTATGTAGGCTCCCTTGATAAGGCAATGAGCCTGTCTTCGGTAGTGGTACCTACTCACTGACTTTGGAGTAAGCCCTGTTGTTTTCATCAGAAAGGCAATATAGAGAGAGGAGTAGAGGTAATACTGCCTATTGTAAAGATTTATTTTTCTAACGATGAAGAGAAGGGAAGATGTTTACGTGAATGATGACAATCCTAGTGAACTGCAGTATACCTGGTGCTGGCAAAACTGCAGTCCATTTCTTATTTGCCAGTTTGATTACTTGGTGGTGGGAGGACAGACGCAGACTGCACAATCTTGGATTCCAGACTTGAAAGTCCTGATTATGCTGCTGAACTGTCAGCTACTTTCTCCCCAGCCTTCTGTAACACTGGCCAAGAACAACCTTCCAGATACATTGGATTTCAATTCCTTTAATCCAGTGGAATATGACCTAAGGGTTATCGGAATGGAAGCTCAGCATATCTGAAAGGCACCAATTGGTGGAGGGAATATGTTCATTTCTGAGTGTTATAAGACAAAGGGTAACATGTTTGTGTTGGCAACTGTGAAACGGCTTATGGGCTGCAGTAACTGTTGTATCTCTTGCAGCTATGGTGACATGGTTCCAAGCACCATTGCAGGGAAGATCTTTGGATCCATCTGCTCTCTAAGTGGGGTGCTGGTCATCGCCCTTCCTGTACCTGTCATCGTTTCCAACTTCAGCCGTATCTACCACCAGAATCAGCGTGCAGATAAACGACGGGCTCAGCAGGTAGATTTGGGAGGAGGAGGAGGAGGAGGAGGAGGAGGAGACTACAGACACGGGGAGCTCAATTATCTGTGACATTCCACAAATGGTTTTCTGTTTCTCCCTTTACAGAAAGTTCGCCTGGCCCGAATACGCCTGGCCAAGAGTGGCACTACCAATGCTTTTCTTCAGTATAAGCAGAATGGAGGCCTTGAGGTATGAACTCAATTGTCTGTCCACTTGGGTGCCCTCAGTTTTCTCCATGCTGGGAATCCTTAAAACAACGGCACAGATTGTTTTCTTAAAGCAGTTGCCTTTTCCTAGGTAAGGAAAACAAGGATCAGTGTGAATGGAAAAACATATGCTGTTCCTCCTCCTTGCTTGGGTCAATATGCTCAGTTGTTGTTATTGCAGTCAAAATGAGCAAACTGAAACCTTTGCTCTTTGGGGTTGACTACAGCTGGACTGTAGACATTCTCTCCATTGCATTCCATCAGTGTTAAGAATAATTTGCCAGAGCTGCATGTTAAGCCAAAGATAGTTTTAGGCAGAGCTAGTCGCCGAAAGATAAGAAAGAAAAAGTAAAAGAATGGGATATACCAGCCCTTTTTCCCTTTCTTGGCCATCCACTTTCTGTCATATCTGTTATTGTTTTTTCTCTCTTGATCTGTTTTTCTATTCCCCCATTTATTTACTTTATTTATGGGGATGCATGCAGCACTTAGCCTAATTTCAGAAACAATCTGCAAATGATCAGTCTAGACCTCTGGCAAAAAAAGCCTGTCTCTTCTCTGGCAAAAAGAGAAGTTGATGTGATTGTTTTCAGAGGGCTTTAGAAATTAGGCTGAGTACCATGTTCATCCCCAGGGCCAATAGTTACACATCCTTGGGCCAAGCTTAGAACAGTGCTTCCACCATGAGTCACTTTCTGAAACCAATGCTGGAATGCTCTTCCCCAGGGAATAATTCTGGTTCTCTATTAACTCCAACACTTGTTAATACAATCACAAAATCCCTTGAATGGGTCATTGGAAATGTTGGCATTTGATTTAGATTTATGTCCCAAGATTCCCATCTCTATGTCTCCCTTTCATCCGATCTAGGGGAAGCTGCGAGCTTCTTTTGTGCAAAGTCCCATTCATTAATGAGAGCAATTTAATTAAAGCGCTGTCCAAATAAAACAAAGGCTCGGTTCAAGCATTGCATTATACTACAAAATAATTTGTTTTGTGTTGGCTTGGGTGAGCATATACATTGTTGTTTACCTAGCCTATTTTCATTTATTCAACAAATGGCAACTTAAAGAAATCATAGTCTACTATGTTTGCACCTATTCATTGTTAAGGAGAGGAGGGGGTCAGACTATTCTCCAAAGCACTCGAAGGCCAGACAAGGAATAATAGATGGACACTGTGAACAGCTTCATCACCGGAAGCTTTCAAGAAGAGACTGGACTGCCATCTGTCAGAAATGGTGTAGAATCTCCTGCTTGGGCAGGGCTGGACTAGATGACCTACAAGGTCCCTTCCAACTCTGTTAATCTGTTAAAGCTGTTAAAGGATAAAGGAAGACTGGCTGAAGAAACAACTACTCTGGATGGTCTTCTATTCCATCAAAGGACCCAGTTCATAGCTCCTGGATTTTCAGGGCCTGCTGTTGTCCTCAAGCCTTTCTATCAGCTTTAGCTGATTCAGATACTGCAGAGGTGTCAAACTCAAGTTGTGTTTGACCTTGGGGGGGTGGGGGGCGTGGTCAGGGGGCATGGTCAGCTCCACATTACTCATGTTGGGGGCACCTGTGGTGGCCCGAGCACTCTGCCAGCAAAAACAGGCTCCCAAGCTCCATTTTCAGCTGCAGCAGCCTCCTGCAACCCTCTGCCAGTGAAAACAGAGCTTGGGAGGGCAGTTTTAACTGGCAGAGGCACTGCAGGCCTGTTTTTGGCAATTTCCAAGGTGGTCCCGCAGGCCAGTTCTATGCACACGGCAGGCCAGGTTCAGCTCCTGGGCCTTGAGTTTGACACCCATGAGATACTGTGTCTCCTGTGGTGCAATAAACTTAACTGCTGTCATTCATGCATTGGTGTTTTCCAAAATACTCTGTGAGTCAGACTGTCCTTGAAGATGGTTTGGAAATGTCAACTGCTGCACAATGCAACCTCCTACATTGCTATCAAGTCTTGCACCACTTGGTTTCTGTTCTGATTGCTAATTCTTCCTCCTTTGTTGGTCAATTCTTTGATCTTAGTTAATACAGGCATCATAGAAGCCTACTCTTAAAATCTATCTTATTTGCGATATATTATATGACAGTATGTAAATTTTTTTTAAAAAAAAATAACTTAAATAAAGTCTAATCCAGTGCTTCTCAAATGTTCTAATCTCAGTTCCAATTTTAAATAAGCTCCCGACTTTATAATGCAACTGGAGTATTCTTTGTTGGAAGGCTTCCTACTTTGAAAAGTATCAATTCCCTATAGACAGAAAGGTAGTCCATTAGAGAGGACAAATGTAACCACACCCTAACCCTAAAGTATTGTTTTCTAAATGCAGAAACCTTCTTTTCAATGGAAGGCCCTCAGATACTCAGCCACCCTTCTTGCAATCTGAAATGCAGTAATCTAAATAATGTTTAAAAATTGAATAGGTTTTAAAGCTTATGCACTTAAGTTTCCCATTTTTACATTTCCACTTCCATTTTACATTTCCACTTCCAATGATGGCTCTGATAATTTAGATATGTGGATATTCAAGCTGGCACTACCAATTGTTGAAATGGAATGATTATATGCTGGTATGTGCATCAGATATCCCATCTGCCTTTATCTTCTTTCTCCGTCAGGACAGAGATCCTGATGCACATGCCTTGGCAGCGCGCAACCGATCAGCTTTTGAACAACAGCACCACCATCTCTTGCACTGCTTGGAGAAAACTACAGTGAGTAATAGGAAGCGGGGGGAGGGGAATCAAAACAGGGGAGGAATCAAAAATGGGAGGAATATGGGAAACAGAAATGGGACTGATGGGTGAAGCCTGCATTTGTATTTACAAATGAAATCTGCTTTCTGTCCAATACTTTGTGAGTCAAGTTTTCCACTTTACACTCTACAAAATAGTGAGCTACGATTTTGATGCTCGGATGGAATAATGAGGCTTTTGTTGCAAAAATACTTGAAGGTTTCTTACTATGGGAGAGGTTGGAACTGTGCTGATTTTATTCTTAAGCAGTTTTCCCCCTGCCCCAGATACAAAGATGTATATGAAGAACTGCACCTAAAATAAAAGCAGCAACATTAAAGGGGAGAGACTCATTACAGTAACTTTGTAGGGCAGATCCCTCCCCCAATAATGGCTTCATTGCTTCTGGTAAAATGCTAGCTACTTTTATTGTAACAAGGATAATTGAAGTGCAGATTGCCAGCAGATGCAAAACTAAATTAGTTACAGCCCTTTGGTGTTTATTATTAAATTATAGTTTAGTGATTAAACTATAATACAGGACAGAAATCTTAGGATGCTATGTAGGTCTTGAAAGACTGAATTGTAGTCCCCAGAAGCTTAGCGTGGTAGTAGTGGCATAGACACAGTTTAATTGAGAATAACTCTGGAGACTGCATTATAATGTTCATATGGTGTAAAGTTTAAACTGTAAGCTACGGTCAACTAGAGTTCATATGGAGCTGTCCAAGGTCCTGTTTTCATTTGTTCTTGGTGCAGAAAGACTTTTGCCTTGATTCAGTTTATCTCAGCTGAACTTCATCACTGTCTTAACATTGTTCATCTTGATTGGAATATGGCTGCCTAGATTTGATATGAGAGTCTGAACTGATTCTACAGGTTTACAAATGTATGTTCTATATTATTCTGCTCTAATTGACAACTAATGAATTAGAAATGAGCAATGATTATGTTTTGCAACAACATTAATTTACTAAGATAGTTAAAACAAGAAGGGGCAGCAACGAAGGACAAATTTCTCTTCAGGCCTGGGGAAATGGTAATAAGATAACAGACTCGCTGTGAAAAAAGACAAGCGATGGGTATTGGGTGCCCTCCCGCCACCCTTTTTTCATAAAAAGCTGTTGATGGCTGAATTTGCAGTAACTGACCCAAGAAGGGGATTTTAGAGTTTTATTACTATTTCAATAAAAATGTCAGTTCAGTGCAGGAAAAAAGGCAGAAACTATATTTTTAGTCATCGTGAATGGAATTGATAATAAAAGTGCTAGAATCATAATGCCTTAATACAAATTAATGGTGTCTCCATTCTTAATATCCTATTCATAGACTTTTTTTAGTTGCGGTCGGTATTTCTCGGAAGAGTACTGAGCTGAGAATGCAAAAACAAAGTAATCCAAATGATTAAAAATTGTTGGAGCAAGTTCCTTATGAGGAAAAGTTAACAATAATTGAGCCTTTTTAGCTTAGAGGGAGGGGTGGCGAAAGAGGCAAGTGAAGGGGCCATAATAGAATTGTATTAAATTACACATGATGTGAAGAAAGTGTTTAGGGGGAAACTCTGATGAAGTATTAATTTAACAATCTGATGTGAATACACTTGCGGAAGAAGGGGCATTTGGGAGTAAGAATAGGTTTGTCCACTCACATAGGTTTGTCCACTCAACCTCTATTGTTATTTTTCTCCTTCTCTCTCTTCCCCTTCTCTGACATGTTTTTCCCTCATCCACGTGCAGAGTCATGAGTTTACTGATGAACACTCCTACAGTGACTTTTGTCTGACTGAACCCCTGGGTTACCGCACCAGCCGCAGCACTTCTCTCTCCTCTCAGCAAGGAAGCAAAGGGGTTCTAAGCACCTCCTGCTGCCCCCGCCGCAACAGGCGCCGCACCACCCGTCTCACCAACTCCACCATGTCTGTGAGCCGTGCCAGTGCTCAGGAGCTGGATATGCTGAACAGCCAGAAAAGTTCTGCCCCCCAGAGGTAGGAAGCATGCCTACAGCTTTTAACACCCAGCCAATGGAAAGAAGGGATTGCTTCCACTTGCATTTTTCATGCTAAAAAAAAACAAAAAACAAAAAAAAACACCTTTGACTACTTCTATTATCTGTAGGAGAGAGTGAGGATGGGGGAGACCCACTCAAATGTGTTACCAAAGCTATTCAGTACAGAGTGAAGACTCAGCTCAGTAGCAAAGCATTTTAAGCAAGTATTCTCAGGTTTAATCCCCAGGTGTTTCCTGCCTGAAGGGCCACTGATAACCAGCGCTGACTGTATTAGCGCTGACTGCTCCCAGATTTTTTTTTTAGATTGATATGCTGATAATGTAAACTGTGTCTCACTAATAGTAAAAAAATACATTACATATAAACAAATAAAATTTAAAAAAACTCATAGCCTTTCATTATTTCCCTTTATCCACCATGATTGTCATTTGGTTGGGGCTGCTGGGAGTTTTAGTTGGGTAATATCTGGAGTGTCACTGGTTCCCCATCTGTGCCTTCCTCCCTGAAGACCAAAGACCATCTGTAGAGTATGTAAAAATACCTCATGGTGATGTATAAAGAATACCCCTAGAACAGAGTACAATTAAATTTTTCAAAATTGTACACATTTAAAATAGAGTAACCTGATGATTTAACCTCCAGGTCAACAAAGTTTTTGGCACAGTAAATACATTGGTTGTCTTCACTGTAGATAAGAAAGTAAAAAAAAAAAGTCTGGATAGTGAACATTGCAACACCTGGACACAGCAGAATAGAAGGGAAAGAATCAGAGAAAATCACAAAATACAAAGACCTGTGCCAAAAGAAAGCAAAAATGGTATCAATAGGAACAGATGCCATGGGTGCAATTGCAAAACATTTGGAGCACCACTTAAGCATCATTGATAAAAATCCCCAATTGCAAAAAAAGCTGATTTACTTGCAACAGCTTACATCCTGCGACAATATCTCTAACACCATCAAACAAAAACTCCTGCCCACCCCAGGTCCTTGGGAAGGAGTCGATAGGAGGACAAAAATGCCAAATCCAATCTAAACATCTGGCTGACTGCCTGATTGCATATATGGCAATGTAATATATTGCTATTGCTGCTTTCCTTCTATCTCTTGCATAACTGATTTTACAGCTAATAAATATGACCAGATTTGTTTAATAATACAGCGGGTCAGATTGTACTTGCAGCTCAGCTATTCTATCAAGTACAACCAGATCCACCGTAGGATGAAGCATAAAGGACATTTATGACCAGTTTACTTTAAAAAAAAACTATTTGGGCTCTGCAGGAGGAAGTTGGGCAGTTATGGCCTTAGATAAATTGGATAGAGAAGTTTAGGGTTAGAGTTAGGTTAGGCTAGGGTAACATGGAGGAAGGGAATCAAGAATATAAGTGATATGTTAGTGCCCATGGATGTTGCAGATTGTATCAAGGCAGTCCTCCATTTACCACCATTCATTTAGTGACCATTGGAAGTTACAATGGCACTGGAAAAAAAAGTGACGTATGACCTTTTTTCACATTTATGACCATTGCAGCATCACTACAATGATCAAAATTTGGACGACTGGCAACTGGCATGTGCTTATGATGCTTGCAGTGTCCCAAAATCACGGAGGTCACCTTTCGGGACCCTCTGACAAGCAAAGTCAATGGAGAAGCCAGATTCACTTAACAACAGTGTTAAATAACTTATCAGCTGCAGTGATGCCCTTAACAACTGTGGTGAGAAAGGTCGCAATATGGGACAAAACTCAACAACTATCTTATTTTGCAACAGAAATTTGGGGCTCAGTTGTGATCTTAAGTAAAAAAAACTACCTGGAATGATTTTAGAAATTTTGCTATGGTTTGGGGGGCAGTTGCCATTGTTTGCCACCCAGGGTCACCTTTGTGAGATGAGGAGCTATACCAGTTGTTCAAATAAGTAAATGACTCAGGACTGGAGACTAAAGATAAAAGTCTCCGAGGTCTGACTCTAGGGGGCGGTGCTCATCCTCATTTCTTAGCCAAGGGAGCCTGCATTGTCCAAAGACAATTTCTGTGGTCATGTAGCCAGCATGGCAAAGGTGCATGGAACACTGTTACTTCCCACTGAAGTGATACCCATTAATCTACTTGCATTAGCATGCTTTCTAACTAATAGGTGGGCAGGAGCTGGGGCAAGTAATGGGCACTCACCCCATCTCAAATGCGGGCTGTCAACATCTTTAACTACTGGGTCATGGTTCCCCTTATTGCTGGTGGCTGATGGGAATGAAATCCCAAACACCTGGACACCTTTGCCTTCCTAGACTAACACATGAGCTGGTCTCTGTTGCTTAATACATATGAGATCTATGCCATGCAGTTCTATTGATTGATTTATTATATTATTCATAGGCTGCCTTTCAGGATTAAGTCTCCCCTTGTGGTTTGTAACATATTAAAATTTAAAATTTTCTTTAGAACTCTTTACAATTCAGAGCCTTGTACTCTAGAAATATTGTAGCAGGGTTATAGCAATGTTATGGCAGCAATAACATGCATGAATGCTTAAAAGTACACCCCATTGTGTTAAGTGAGACAGACACTTATTCCATTATAAAGAACTGCTGTTTTCTAATCACTAATTGGATAGTGATTAACTACAGGTGTCAGCAAGTAGCTGACCTTGGCTATTTCCCCAGAATCAAAGTTGATCTGACCTGGTTCATACATGGATGGGAGACCACAGGGAACCTGCTAAAACTATAGAGCAAATGGTTTGTAGTTAGGTCCCCACTCATTTTATTTAAATGGATTTCTGAGGGCTGTGAGGGGCATGGGTGATCAAACAAGGGCTACCTTAAGGGCTTTAAGGTAGAAAGTGAGAATTATTTCAGTGCAATGGGAGGGCAATGCTGCAAATCAGATTTTTCTGCCTCGTTTTGTTGTAATATTAGATTATTTTAGGACCATAAAGAGGTGCTGCATGTAGCTTGTTGGTATGAGTGCTTGCCTCACGTGGCTTTATTCCACAAAACACACTATACTACTTCCCACCAGAGTGGGGAAGCAAGGAATGTTATGGGTCCCCTTTCCTAAGAGGCCCATTTAATGGAATCAAGAAAAAGGGCCTTCTCCGTAGTGGCTTCCTCCCTGCAGTGATAAGATTGGCTTCCACTCTCACACTATTTTACGAGGCCCTGAAGACATGGTTCTGCCAACAGGTTTGGGAAGCCCGGGATGATATGAAGCCCATCAACTGGCTGGTCTTGTTTTTGTTGCCTGGGAAATATTTGTTTTTGTACTGGGCTTTTATCTTTGTAAGCTTCCTGGAGTCAGTGAGAGTGTGTTGGGCAGCCATGTACATTTTCTTAATTAATTAATTAAGCCTTGGCTTAGTGTTCTACATGAGCCCAACTACTGTGATTCATTCACTCTAAAGGCTTTCATATTGTATGACTCCAGCCACTGCAGTGTCAAAATCATAATGGTTTGTTTCGTGAACCTCCCCAATGTTGGTTTATTCAGGAAAAGCATGGTTAAGCAAACCATAGCTCATTCTAAAACCAAGCTGGAGCTTGTCTTTACTGTGCTAGCTCCTTCCTACTCTATACACATGACCTGTTGAAGCCTTTCTTGCTTAAAGATATAGCAGATACAGCAGTTTTTCTGGAAAGCTACATTAGAGTGGTGATCTGCCTGTAACTGATGAAAGATGAGAACAAAAGGGTTGGAGGGAGGCTTTCCATCTCTCCACATCACTGTTTTCATTTTCCCGGGAAGATTCACTCCTGCTGAGAATCTAAGACTTAGTGCAGATTTAAGATTGAGTTGCATTAACAGGTGCGGGGGTAGGATGGTAGTTGATTACATCACCAAAAGAAAAAAAATGTTTGCCTAAAGAAGTTACCAAATATTCAATGGACATACTTTTAATAAACATCCCCTTTCCAAGAATGATTCTGGGGGGAAACTGAACTGATAGATGGGTTTGAATGGAAAGAAGTTTGAGGAAAGGCTGAAAGAGGCTGTGCAAGCACAGAGAAAAGAAGTTTTAGGGAAGAAGCATAAAAGCCATGTCCATTATCTGAAGGAAATGATAGGGAGAATGGCTGACTGCTTATTGGCACCCGTTCAGCAAGAAAAAAAGAATCTACTGCAAGAAAGCAGGCATAGCATCAGCATCTGGAAGGACCAGAAGAAGCATTCACTGGGGAGAAGCATTCAGTCAGGGGCGTTTTGTGTCAGAACTAGATGGCTTTTGATTACTGCTCTAGACTCCATTTGTGCTATTTCTGTTGAATCTTCCAACAGAATGAAGAGCTTGTCAGTCAAAAGGATGAGTTAAGTTATCTGCAGATTGACTGCTATAAATGTGATCTCTCCCCACACCCCACCTCCCTCTTGCAGTAATTGAATCAGCTGCTCTGATGCAACTGGACATTCAGGAGAATGAATTAGCCATTGTGTGTGTGTGTGTGTGTGTGTGTGTGTGTGTGTATGTGTATGTATATGTAAATATATGTAAATATTTTTATGGAGCATTTTCCAATAGTTTATAACACACAATGTTTACAATGTTTTTTACAATGTTCGCCATAATATAATTGAACTACTGCATAGGAAATGGAAGAAGCCAACTTTTCATACACTGAGGTGAGCAAAGTAAGGCAGAAGAATGCACACCCAGCTGTAAAATGGAAGCTGGCTGGGTGCAGGGATACCAGTAGTCTAAGGGCTGAAGGAAAAACGGACAAACAAGTGGAAAAACCGGAGGACACAGGAGACCAAGGAAACCTTTTGGGGGTCTGGAATATGGAAGTAATGGTACCCAAAAGACAGATCAGAAAGAGGTCCAGTCAGCAACTCAAGAAAGTGGGGGAGCTGAATTTAATATATGAATGATAAGCCAAATGTTAGGCTGCAGGTTTCCAAAATTGTTAAATCCAATTCCTTAATTTCAGCAAGACTCATGTTTCTTACAGGTTTTTTTAAAAATAATGGATCTTCTGCCACCTCCTGGTAGAAGGATAGCAACAACCAGAGGAATAGTACTGAACCAAGAGCCAAGAGTCAACCATCCCACTGTCATATGCAGCAGAGGAAACTCCTGGGACATTATTTTACCAAGAGATCCGTATAGGTACAAAAGAAGCAAAGGCAGTTCTGAGGTTCTGGCACAAAAGGTAGCATAGTTAAACTCCCCCTTTTCCTCCCCAGGCCACCCTGTGTCCATTGTCCACCAATACCATTCAATCATATTGTTTTGGGAAGCAGTCTGCGCCGCACAAAAGGGTCCCATCAAGCGACCTTGAAATGTCGGGATTTTCTCAGGCTGCAAACAGCTCACATAAATGAGTAAGAAACATGAGACTTGCTGAAATTAAGGCTAGTACTTAGGAACTGAATTCAAAAATGTTGGAGACCTGCAGCCTAACACTTGGCTTATTTTTTGAAATCATGGATCTTCTGCCACCTCCTGGTAGAAGAATGGCAACACCAGAGGAATAGTACCGAATCAAGAGTCACCAAAGTCATTAGCTTAGAGTTAGAAAGGAGGCCTACTAATCATCGCCCTAACTTGGCATGTACACATTAGGCTAACTCAGAGGTAATGTGGCTTTCTTTGTTTGAAAGCCACACCCAACTTACCTCAGCAAGGCTGTATTCCAAAAGTAGATAAGGAAATGCTCCATGGGGTTCAGGGGCTTTAAGAAGTGAAACGAGTGCTTGAGACTTCGAAAGGTTTCAAGTACACAAATGGCTCCATAACTTTCCCAAACATAAAAACATACAAACATACAAAGCCAGGGTCTGAAATATTATAACCACAGCACTTGGCCAACAGTATGAGTCATGATAGAGATGAGGATTGCACTCCAAAGCACTTTTGCCTGATGTGAACTCAGCTAATTGTGTCTTGCAAACCATGGCCTACAACTTAGCCAGTTGCGTGAACCCAGCCATTTAGATCACACACACAGTAAGCTACAATGTGGTTAGTTTATTATATGGCAGTTTTAGTATGTTGTATGAATGCAGCCAGTGTTGTTTGTAAACTCTATTTAATTGTTTAGCTTGTTGCCTGGACCTCATCAATGGTGAGCTTTCTTTTTATCCTTTGACGTAACGTTTTCCCCCCTTACTGTATATTTCTATATTTTTAAAATATACATATATTAAGTACATTTTTACAAAGTGAAAAAGATAAATACAAAATTGTATAAAGAAAAAATTAGAAAATGAAGGGAAAAAAAGTATTTAATCCCTTACTGGACATTTCTGAAACTGGGTTACATAATGAGAAAAGAATCACATTCTATACCTGCTGAAAGACGCACCTCCTCCTCAGCCTTGGCTGAGCTTTTAAAATGCTCATGCATGATTAAGAATAATTTTCCTTTGTAAGCACCACGGGTGAAAAAAAAGCAGTGCCGACAGGAAGCCTTCAGAGGCAAGTTTTCACTCCATTAAAACGCCTGAAACTTGAATGGCACACAATAAGTGTGAAAGATTTACCTCAGAGCCATTCATCTCTTTAGTTTCCCTGGAATGACTTCCTTCCTTCTCTCTTTTCTTCCTCTCTCCCTCTCCCTGTCGGCACACATATATTAAATCACTTATGCTTCTTTTGGTCTCGTGAAGATGATCAAATAGAGTCTTCCTTTCAAATGATTGACTGACTATAATAGTTGCATCAAAATATAGAAAATCTATTAGGATATTCATAAGATATAAGCATTTGATTCAGATTTATTTATTTATTTATTTATAAAGTTTATTGGCTGCACACGTTACCACAAGATGGTAAGTAGCTTATAGTAAAAAAAAAAAATCTATCTACATTAAAACATAAATTAAAGCCAAAGATTAAAATCTTAAGGACACATGGGGTGGGTGGGGACAGACTGGGAGGAGGTAGGATCCGTTGTTTTTCGATCAACCATTTCTACTGTTCTGCTCCCCCATTGGGACCCCCAAGCCAACTGGCAGAGACAGGTCTTTAGGCCCTTATAAAAGGATAGGAGGGTTGGGGCCAAACTCATATTGCGGGGGGAGATATTCCAGAGGGCAGGAGCAACAGCAGAGAAGGCCCTTCTCCTGGACCCTGCCAGCTGAAATAATTGGGCTGATGGGACCCACAGCCTGCCTCCTCTGCCAGCACAAGTGGGACAGGCCAGATGAAAGATTGGGTGCTGCATATTTACCAGCCAAATGCAGGAATCATTGGATAAGAATGTGTACAGTTCCAATTCCCTCACTTCACTCTTGTATTCTGTTACATATTTGGTCTCTTCTTTGTTTGGAGTGGAACTGGGCTATAATTCTCAATCATTCAAATGATTGAAAAATCTTTCATTTAGTAAAAGAAATTATCTTCACAGAGGCTGAATGCATGCACTGGGGCTAAGCCAAGTGTGACTTGTTTTATTTATTTATTTGCTTTTTAAAAGTAACAAAAAAGAAAAGGAATAAAGCACAAAGATAATTACGATTGATACCTTCTCAAAGGAAAGAATACATGAAAAGTGCTTTAAAAAGTTTTAAAATATCACCAAAAAGAAAGTACAGTATAACATTATCAGTTACAATATACAACACTGAAACTTATCTAATGTAAATATTATTCAAGTGTACGTATACTTTATTTCTATGTATACATTTATATAACCATTATTTTTTACCTATTGCATTTTATAAAAATGAGTTCCATATCTCGTTATACTTATCCATACAAAATCTATGTCTATAGGCAATCTGCTCCAAGGTGGCAAGTATAATCAGGTCTTCAATCCAGTGAAAGGGTCATTTATCTTTCCAAAATGCGATATCAGTATTGTTTGACCCTCAAGAAGAGCCATTTACATTGTCCACTTGTCACATTCCATGTTATAGATATGTAATTCAAGAAATCCTCTGAAAATTTTAACTTTTTGTCCAAAAGTCATATTTGTATAATCCACTACTTTCTCCCAACATAGTAAATAAAGGACTTTGTCAAACCATGCATTTTTTAAAAAAGCATTATCCTTATTACATCTTAGTCTTTTCTATACAAACATAGTAAAAACATAGTAAAAAAAAATTGTTGTGTAAGTCTTCGTTTAAGATCCATTGGCACTCTTGCTATAGATGTTAAGAAACTCTTCATCATCTAGGCAAAATATAAATTTCTAATTGTTATTCCTTTCATTTCTTATCATCTTCATATAAAATTGATTTATCAATAAGTACTATAGGAATGAATTGCATGTTTTTTAGTTGTATAGGATTTAACAAGTTGTTCTACAATCTCAACTGTCTCAAAACCTGAAAATGCTACTGGTCCAACAGTGTTGTTAACAAATGTTGTAGCTGTAAATATTGCCATTTCAGCTACTAAGTTATTTTTTTGTTTATGGCTTAGCAGCCATTGTGAATCCGGTTGCTAATCTATATATACTTTTAAGACTCATTTATCTCAGCATGAGTATTCCCCCCCTTCCCTCCCACATTCCTCCTTTCTCAATATGATTAAAGTCTTTGCAGGGATCATCCTGTAAATCAAGCTATGTGGTTTAGTATCATTTGAAATATACCACATATTAATTTTTAATTTTTGCCTGTTATTGTTTTATTGTTATGGTTTTTCTTTTTGGAGTTTAATAAAATGCGTTTTTAAAAAAGCGACCACCGAGGAGACTGAAGGAATACAAGCAAACTGAAGATAAAGCAGCCTAGCTTTTGGACTATATATCTGAAATATAATGGATACTTATAACTAAATATTCACAAAATGCGGGGGTGGGATTCTACCAGTTCACACCTATTTGCTAGAACCGGTTGTTAACATTCTAAGCATTTGGAGAACCGCTTGTTAGAAGAAATTACTGGCCTAATCCTGTAAGGAAGGCAGGAAGGAAACATTCTGGTGTTGCTTATAGATACTGCCTCTCCATTAACCCTTATTACATTTTTGGCAGGACTAGACTTCCTGTCTCTGGAACTTCTCTGGAGTTTTTTCCCCTCCTTTGCTAGTACTTTGCTTGTGTGGAGTGACCATTCAAAGTTACAATGGCACTGAAAAAAGTGACTTATGAATGTTTTTCACACTTACAACTGTTGCAGCATCCCCACAGTCATGAGAGGCCAGGTGAAGAGATGGTGGCTCAATGTGAGTGATATTGAGTTGGCCACACCCAGCCAATAACATGACCACCAAGCCACTCTCACCAACTAAGCAACGCCCACATAACTGGTTGTTAAAAAAATTGAATCCCACTCCTGACTAAATGGAACTGTTAATTATTTGCTGATGGGTTATAAACAGCTGAGGAAACTGTTCTAAGGTTTGGACAGGGAACAAATGATGGAAGATGGACATGATATATTTCAAAATAACTAAAATGTTGGGAATCAGCTCTTTGGGAGAATCAGTTCTCTGCCATAGACCTTTGTAATCTGTAACCTCTGTAAGGAAGGCTGAAGTTCATTCAGCCACCTCAGAAATATATTGTCTGAAGTGACTGCATTTTTACAACAGGCTCCTTTTATTTAGTTTTAATATTTGTTAGGAATTTTTGTGGTTCAGCCCATCGCTGAGCCTCCTGATATGGCTGTTTATTTGCATTCTTCAGCATTTGCTATGGGAACAGGGAGTTATTGTTCAGCAATATCTGGAAAGTTTTTGATTCTCTACCCAAGGTCTGTTATTAAAGAATCTCATACTTTGAGGCTGGGATGACCTCTTCATTCATAATTTCTTTCTCTCTTCCTTCCTTCGTTTTCTGCTTCTCTAGTCGTTCCAACCTGAATGCCAAAACCCATGACAACTTGAAGCTGAACTGTGACACAACTGACTTCACAGCAGCCATTATCTGCATCCCCACTCCTCCTGCCAACACACCAGATGACAGTCACCCTCCGTCACCTAGAGGCCCGGGTGGACCCGTACGCAATTCCAGCCTTTCCCCTCCATACCTTCTTCACGAGACTGTCAAGATCTCCTCCTTGTAAGAGGAGGCTGGGGTGGGGTCGGGTTGGTGGTCCTTTCTCTTTCTGGAGTCCCTGTTGGTCAACAGAGTCTTATTTAGGATGTGGGGATGGGCTCTTCCACATCAGTGTTCCACCCCATCCTGTTGCTGCAACCTGGAGAAGATCAGAAGGAACCAGCTTTCTTTTTAGGGGTGACATTGATACCCACCAACACAGGGAGTTCTTACATAAGAGATGCCTGCCCAACTCCCATATCCCACTAGTCAAAGCCATAGAGGAGATGAAGTGGATCCCAGATGCTATGCAACTTCAGAAGAGTAGAGCAATGCAGGGAAAACTGGGTCACAGTAGATGGATCTCTGGGGTACTCAGGAACATATCCCAGCTATGGGGGATGGGTTTTTTACCCTTTAGATAGTTTTCACAATACCAAACCTCTTGTCTCTGAAGTTGTGAACAATGAGCTTTTTGTTCTCTCAACTGTAGAACTGAAGAAGGCTTTAGATTCTAGAGCAGGAAAGGAATCAAGGACTTTGGCACTCATGGCTTTAGAAAGGAAGAATCTAATGGGGAACTTGTAAGTTACCTACAGGAGTGTGGCCAGGGCTGACAGATGAGTTGCTGGCTGAATGTACAGCCAAAAAGGTCAGAAAACCTAGTCCTCAAGGTCTAGGTCTCTTAAGAGAGAGAAAACCTCTTTAATTAACTCTGTCCCCAGCATAGTCAAGAAAGTGCTGTGAAGTGATTAGAGTAACGACCCATGGATGCTTGCAAGATTTAAGGAGGGAAATGAAAAGGGGGGAAAAAGACACAGAATCAACAAAACTTCCAACAATTTTTCTATCTTCTGGCTAAGCCATGACATCACTGGGGTGGATGGAACCTGAAAGCTTCCCCAAAACCCCAGCTGCCACTTTTTCTCTTTTCTCTTACTCTTATTCTCTCCTCTCTCCCAAAACCTGTTCGGTCTCTTGGAAACTGCACTTTAAAAGAAAAAGAAAAAAAAAGCCTATTGCACCAAAATGCTACACCTCATGGGAATCTCATGTATTATGATCCCAACCATACAGACACACACACACACAAAGAGAAGCCTGCACTTCCCCACATTGTGTAGCATAAAGACTGTGCATGTGTATTATACCTCCAAGAGGGAGATCCCAAGTTCACAGCTGCAAACTGTCACATGCATGTATAGCTGGGTTCCCATCTCATCTCACCACCCTGATGGAAGATATGCTGTGAAGAACTGAACCAACTCTGCAGAGCAGGATACACTGGTCCTTGTGGCCATCCTTCTCCTACAGATATTTTTTGGATTAAATTAGCAGGGAGAGAAAGACTGGATCTTGATATTAACCAAGCACTGGGGAAGGAATTAAAGATGGTAGAAGGCAAAGAAAAAACAAAAGCACTTTGGTGGGATAATGGATACCGTTCTAGGTATCAAACCAGCCACAAGGCCCATAGCATGCATCAAGTTGGCCAGCTCTCATGTCTTGAAAAGGATTTTCTCTCAAACAGGAATGGCTTCTTTGTTCTGACTGTGTCCATCTTGACTGTTTTTTGTTTTCTGTTTTTGTTTTGCTAATTATGTTGGATTATCTCTCCTGGATACGTATCTGGAATAACAATAACCTACTATGAGACAGCTGAAAATCACCAGTCAATTAAGACACAACTTAGGGAATGTCATACAGCCTTCCACAAATTGCTGTCCTCCAAATATACTGGGCTGTTTCCCACAATTCCTCAGCCAGCATGAAATTTGGCCATGCTAAAGAATTACAGGAATCAGTGGTATCAAATTACAAAAAATTGCTCTACTGAGGCCTGCAAAAAAGCAGTATATTAGTGAATATGAATGGAATGAAATACATTCAGGCCAAATTCCTAAATTCAACTTTTACTGTGGCAGGTAGTTGACAAATGGGACCCACGGGGTGCTGAAAGTTAGTGTCCTCAGACAGACCCACATAACGCATACTCTGGCCTTTCTCCCTCTCCATTTGTTTCTCAGGGTTGCTGTTCATTTATGCACCAGAGTTTCCCACCCACAAGTAAAGCAATATCTCTATGTGTTGGATAGTTAAAGAAATGCTGTCATTTTTTTTCTGAGCACTGTAATGCTGATCACAAAATCTACTTTTAACAAACTGGGAACTGGATGATATCAAAAGAAAAGAATATGTCTTTTATTCTTTTTTAATCTCTCAAGAAAACCGGAAATGCAACTATAGTTTTAAGTACAAATGCTTGAAAAAGACCACACAGACAGGTCAGGAACAGAATATAATTTGTTTGTTTTCCTGAAATCACTTTGTTCCACCCTCACCCCCCCACTCCCCCCACTTAATGGTGCTATCAGGCATTCTGGGAATAAAGCAGCCCAACTGCACAATGAAAATCTCACTTATAACCACCCTAAATGTAGAATATTTTACCCAGTGTCTAACTGCTTCAGAGTTAAATTGAACAAGAGTTCTCTATCCTCATGAAACTGATAGCAATATTCCCAAGTTTTAGAATATATGCAAAGGGAAATTTGCATTTTCTTCCACATAGTTCCCTTCTCCGATCTCCAGATTACCGTGTGATCTGTCTCAAATGAAGGCCATAAATATGAGCATTCTTACACATCTAACAACAATGCACCAGAATCCACTTGCAAAGCTTTTTCTGGATTAGATAGTGTACTGCTTCAAGAATGTTATGGTAAAGGTACATGCCTGAATGATCCTCTCTAGGAGTAAAAAAACATGTCACCCAAAAAACTAGAAGGGACTTTTTCTAACTTGTTTATTCACCATATGCAAGATGTTTGACTTTTGTTTCTGATATGCAAACAAATCCTTTCATTTTCTGAGTGTCTGGGACAATGTTACTTGTCCATTTTGCTGAATATATGAATATTCTGGACAGCCCTCAATATGATAAAGTTCTTGCTTAGCCCTGTAGGAATGAGAGAAAAAAATTGGACTAGAAAAGAATTCCCTTTGTTCTCATGCTGTGTGGGCTTGTGATGTGTATAACTGTAGTTTCACATCAACTCAGGTTCTTATTTGGGTACAAATAGGAGAAACAAAACTGATCTGGACTGGAGGGAGGTTGTGTGTATTTTGAGGGAGAAATATGTCAAGCATATGGGATGGGGTTAATGGAGGGTTGGGAGGCATCATTACTGAATTATACTGGGAGAAAAGATGTTGAAGAGAGATGGACACTGTTGTAGTTTTGTGCCAATAAACAACATTGGATGAGAGCTTCAAAGCAGCTTTGTGCTCTTTTTATTCCATGTCGGGTTTCAGAGAATTTGAGGATGAGGTTGTATACTAGCCACTTCCATTATTATAAATATCATTTGGAAAGTTATTCAAATTATTATTCTATAAAACATTTTGTAATTAAAATCTAGAAAAAAGAAAAGCTTCAATCAGATTATCTTTTTCAATAAAAAATGTTTTTAAAGCATACATTGTTGGCATGGAAAGGCAAGTCTAAATGGGGCTGATATAAACTTTTTTTTTGAAATTTTGAAATTACACTGATACCTTGACATGCGTAAGATTTGTGAATCCATATGAATGGATATGGAATTTGACTACATATCACTACACTTGATTTTTTAAAAACCTCATCCTTAAAATAAGGAGAGCTTATTTATTCACAGGGTAATTTGAATCAAGAAATCTTTTACTGTGATTAACATTTAAGTATATAAAAACCTGAAATAAATATTTCGAATTGGCCTTCTTAAACTAGAGCTCTGTATTGCTACTAAGGAATTTTGATGTACTCCAATGTATTTTGGAGACACCAATACTGAAAATCAGTAATTAGGAAAAGGGTGGGGAACACTGTGCAAATATCACACAGCGTTGAACAGGGCTATTTTAACATATTCTGCCCTCTGCTTCCACAAGCAATTTAAATGGCATAATCTGGATGTAACAGTGAGGTTCAAACGTTGTCTCTGGTTCTACTTTTCCAGAATGTGCGATCACCAAGTGATTCAATTATTTAGCAAGTTATCATGTGACTGGACCCCATTTCTATTGCAGTTCTTAAGTGAATCACTGTGGTTGTGAAGTAAATCATGCAGTCGTTAAGGGAATCCAGTTTACCCCATTGACTTTGCTTGTTGGGACCTGGGAGGAAAGGTCACAAACGCCGTCACATGACTGCAGGATGCTGTAACTGTGGTAAATGCCAGGTGCCCAAATTGTGATCACAAGATTGCGGGACGGTGCAACAGTCATAACTCTGAGGAGATATCACAGGTCCCTTCTTTCAGTACCATTGTGATTCCAAACCATTGTTAAATGAAATGGTTGTAAATTGAGAATCTACACTGCTAGATAACAGCACAGAGATACAAAATACAGAAACCTCTTGCTTCTCAATGCCATCTAGTTTAAGTCATCCAGATACTTGCAGCTCAGTATTCATGGTTTCTTAGCTGCTGCTACTACTAACAGAAACCATGCTTATAAATTCAGTGTCGTGTGCAATGTCCAATAGAAATCTTGTCCATATGTATTAACAATTCCCTTTTAAAACGGCTACTTCTTTTTAAAAAATTGCCATCACACTTCCCTTTAGAGTTACCTTAATGCAGACAACCACACCCCCTAAAAAATCCAAAACACCTAAACGAAAACAAATGAATAATGAAAACGATCCTACAAAACTTTAAGCCAGGTGTTTTTATTAACTAAAAGATTCTTCATACCATCCCTGGACTGTCTCTGCACCTCCCATAGGAAAGTGCACCTCAATTTAGGAAAGCTTGTATTAAAACCATGTTTCTGGCCCTATTTATTGCCATTATATTTATTTATTTGATTTGTCAATCGCTTACAAAATAATAGGCATAAGTATAAACATGAGTAAGAATACAGGAAATAGGTACAAATAAATGGGGACAATAGGACAGGGACGGTAGGCACGATGGTGCACTTATGCACGCCCCTTACAGACCTCTTAGGAATATATTTTATGTATTGCATTTAATAAACTCT